ACGTAATGGGTTCTCAGCTTGGGGTTCCAATAAACAGACACGAGCTCCAGTAACAGCGACAAATCTTTCAACTGCATCTAAGTTTTAGGATCAAAGTTTTAATTTGTTTACTATATTAGAATATAATGATTATAAGACCATATGAAGAAATAATTTTAGTTTATATATATTCATATCGTTTAAATTAAACTATTCATCGTATGAAAATACATACTTATATTTTGATATTTTGCATTGAACATAAATTGAAAAGTTAATATTTTAATTTTGAAATCTGTCATTTTATTTTTTTAAATGATTATAAATTATTGAAACTATTAAACATCTCACATTAAAAAAAAATTGTTGGTGTAAAGTTTTGTTACACAAATATGCAAATAAGCATAAAATCATATGAGTAGAAACCTCATTTAATAAATATTCATATTAAAAGTATGTTATATTACTATGTTTATATCATTTAAATTAATTATATATCATATACAATATATAAGATTAATTATTTTCATTTATTTACCATAATTGCGAATAATCAAGAGTGATAGTTAAATTTATATGCGTACGCCAATTTATTACATAATAGTAACTGATTTCTTAGTTACTTAATATATATATATTTATTATTTATTATTTTATAGTATGCAGAAAAAATATAAAATAAATAGTAAATATAAAATACTTATTGTGCATAAAGTGCAAATCTTAACCTAAGTATGTGTTTCTTTAATTATTTTAAATCTTAAGTATTTTCTAAATTCCAGGTCAAAACAAACAAACGAAATGAGAATAAACTTTAAAATAAATATTTATGTCGAGTAATAACCAAAATAAATAGGATTGACACGTGAACGTAAACTTCTTATGACTATAATTAATTTGTAAATTGTTAAATCATGATATAAAACTGAGTTAATTTCTTAATTTGTTAATTTTAAAAAAAAATTTAAATCATTATGGTTATGTTAAATCATGACCATAATTAATTTTAAATTGTTTATTTGTATTTGAAAAACTTAAAATATTGTTTTTAAAAATAATTTAAAATTTAACTTAATTATTTATAAAATGATTATTTTTTAAATAATTTGTAAACAATATAATTTTCTAATATTATTAGACAAATAAATAAATTATATTAAATTAGTTTTGAAACTTTATATATTTTTGAAATGCAAATATTTTACCAACTCATTCTTAAGAAAATATTAGGGAACTTGCTAATACTCTACCAATCAAGCCCAATGACACTCTGTTTATTTTTCATCACTCGAAAACTGAAAACTGAAAAGATATATGAAATCGGGTCCATTAAATTCTAAGCTAATTGTTTCTTAAGAAAGCATTAGGGAACTTGCTAATACTCTACCAATCAAGCTTAGTGACACTCCGTTTATTTTCCATCATTCGAACACTGAAAAGTGAAAATATATATGAATTCGGGTCCATTAAATTCTAAACTTTGATCCACTGTTCTAATTACAATTGTTTCTGACCCTACATATAGATAATTACATAAAAATTTCAAAATTTTAAAATTTCAAATATATATATAAACAATCATATGTAAGTTTTAAATTTGTCAATATTAAAATTTTATATTTTAATTACATGCATTCACCCTGCGCAAGACGCAGGTTTTATCGTAGTAAAGAAGTAAAAAAGAAGAGAAAAGCTTAACACTAGATTTGTATTCACTGAGCTAATTAAGATCAATCTACTCTTTCAAATAATCTAAATTATTTTTATATGTCGTGGTTAATCAGTTATAACAGTGTCAGACACCGTCACCTCCACACCATGCACACACCGCTTCTACCTCTGAACGATATGCTTGCCGATCCTTATGGGATTCACATAGTCGTTTGTCATTTTTAAATCTGCTTGTGTCATTCTTATGACTTCACATTTTTTTATGTTACCTACGCTTCTGGAGATTTTCACCAAAAGTTTTGTCGGCCAACATTCCCATCTCTTCTTGTGGGTGCATTAGTTTTCTCCGACCACTGCGTGTTCAGCTTGCAGCTGAGTTTATCTCCGGTTGTATTTCTTTGTAGCTCTTGAATATTTAGATTAATATAATTGCTTTTTTAGTTTTAAATATGTTTGTGTAAAGTTAGTATATAAATATACAATCTAGTAATCTACAAAGGAAAATAGAAAACTGATTCTTAATAGAGTACAGTATTTTGAAGCTAGAGTCTCTCTATATAATAATAAAACTAGGTCAGAAAAACGTGAAAGTCAAAACCCTAATATCAATAAACTAGCCACCTCTCTGTCTCCCACGCCTTCTTCTAATTCATTGGGAGATGACAAGAGAGACATTGGGATTGCTCGATCTTCCATGGGATTTGATAGTTGATATATACTCTTTAGAGTTCCGGCTTCATACTTGAGTCGATTACTATTTACTTGCAAGCGACTGAATAAAGATGAAGAATTCATCAAGAAACACTCGGATAAAGCTGCTAAACAGTATACTGTATGGTTCTCATGTTGGGTGATTTAAGGGTTTATTCTATGAATGTAAATCTCCATGACAAGGTTGTCGATCCACAAACGTTGCTGAACCTCAAAGTTTTCACTAATTCTCAACAAGTTGGGATATGTAAAATATTTCAATGCGACTGGTTATTGTTATGCACCACCGGGGACTTAAAACTCGTGGTCTGGAACCCTTGTACTGGAAAATCATGTGGATTCAACACAATCTATATTAATAAAAAGAGAAACCTTAGAGCATCTTTATCGCGAGGAAAAAAGGGCAAAGTGCTTATGCAAAAATAATATAATACTTGGTGGGGCCCCTAATATTTTGAGCACCGGACGCTTCCAGCGCCTAAATAAGCGCTGTGTTTTGGTTGATTCTTGTACAGTCTGCGGGTCCCACGACACGTGGCGACCCGCAATTGATCCCTTTTAAATTTTTTTTTTGGTCAGATAAAAAAAAGAAAATAAGAAAATAAGCAACTCTTGCGATAAAGATGCTCTTACAACTTATTCTAGTTAGATTTTGAAAAAAAAAAAAAAAAAATCTTAATTCTTAACTTAACATTTATGATAATATTTTCTTAAATAATCATTTGTTAACAACCATAATTATTTCTTTCTTCATCTCTTCTAATATTTCCATTTCTAATGTTTCTCCGGATTTATTATATCATTCAACTAATATATTAATTTATAAATGTACTATTTCCATTAGCAAGCAAACTATATCATATATTTTTAATTTATGTCAATTGTTTGTAAGCAATTCATTAGTCTACATCTATTAATATTTCTATCGATATTATATTATCATTATTATTAACCAATTCTTTCAATACTATGAAATTGACCAACTCTATACTTTCATTATCCATAATTGTTGTACGACGAACTATAAACTAAAGGTGTGCATTCGAGAGCCATCTGGATTCGGTTCGAGTCTATTTAGGTTTAGAAATTTTGAGTTTAAAATTTTCATCTCTCATTCGCATATTTCTAAATTTCGGTTCTGGTTCATTTCGGATCGTTGCGGGTTCAGAACTTTAATACAAAATATAGTTTTAATAATTTAATTTAGTCACACAAGCCCAAATAAGTATGGACAAACTTAAGTAAATAAAACTAAACAACATAAAATACAATATAATTTGGTAAATAAAAATAAAACTCGCGCAGACACGCGGATCATGATCTAGTGGTACTTACAAGTATAACACCGAGTTTTTTCTTGGATACGATGATAACAAAACCTATAAAATCTTGAGATGCATCTGGGTATATCATGTCCCACTCCATCGAGTTGTTGAGTATGGAATCTATGATTTTGTCTCTCATTCGTGGAGGGTTTTTAATGACGTCCTTCCCAAAACTGGTCCGTAATATCACAGGGAGTGTCTTTGAAGGGGAATATTTATTGGATTTTCGATAAAGAAAAAGATGAAGAAGAAGATGTCGTACTTAGTTTTGATTTTTCAACAGAGAAATTTGCGGTGATCAGTTTTCCTTTTCCTAATGCTGGTGTTGATTGTTGTCTTACAGCCCTCTCAGTTGTTAGAGAAGAAAGCCTGGCTGTATTATATAGCAGCTTTTCCGATCCACTAACGATTGAGAGATGGATGGAGACAGGTGATGGTTCATGGAGCTAAGTTTTTATCGGCGGGTTTATATAAGAGTATACCTCGTAAGCGCTTTTCAAGTGACACAACTTTCTTTATCGACGAGGAGAATAAAGCGGCCGTGTTATGCGACCTGGGATATATGTACAAAGACACGATACACATTGTTGGAGAGTGACAATCGATTCATGAAAATCCTTGTAGAAGAATACAGATACCCGTTATTGATCAGGCCACTTATTTACAATTATGTTTCAAGCTTGGTTCAAATCCAATAGGGTAGAGTTGCAATGACAGCAAAATAAAAAACGGCATTGGTATAAACAGCCATCTCCATATTTTTCTATTCGATTTGGTCTTTCTTTTTATAGTGAATGTCGTTTGATTAATTCATGAGTTGGTCTTCTATTTTTTTTTTTTTTATCTACATATCAACTCCAAAACTAAAAGTGACGCTGTTCATGAGACCGAGCTGTGTTATATAGGTTCTTGTCTTTGCCTTAGACTCAAATTACAACTAAACCAAATAAATCAAATATTTGATCTCAAGTGCATGACATAATGTACCAACACTGGATACATCATCTGATATTACAGTTTTGTACTGTGTGCATCCCAACTGAAAAAGAATCTACTATTTAATTAGTGTATTCAGATATACAAACTATATACATATATATTATTTACAAAAAAATTGAAAAGTTTTCTTGGGATTTGGCTTTAGCCAAATTAAGAGGTGACTTTGCCAACCGTTTCTATATATCAATGCAATTTGTGCACTAATTATACAAACCTGAGCTCCTTGTATATTTATAGAAACGAAAAGGTTATTAACATCGATGGTGTACCATAAATTATTCGACTATTTAACTTCAGCCGAAAAACACCAAAATCCTATGCTACTAATTCTTGTTCCGGCGAGGACGTGCCAACGTCTTTTAATAGTCTCTCGTACAACTGCACCAAAATTGAATTCAGTTTTTATAGTACTTAACACACGTAAATCACAATAATAGTTAGTAGCATACCTGTCTATACAAAGATGAATCGCCATAAGATTTTCTTAACTCAACCACGTTCAGTGACGGCTTTATCTCGAAAACCTGTTATACATACAATTGCTTCTTTGCTTAGTTCACTAAATGCGCTAAGATAGTCAAATATTATTATGTAATACTAGTTCATTAATATACCTCAGCTGTTACTGATAAACCAACTTGACCCTTCTGGTTATGTTCTTCTTGCTTTACTTTCAACTGTAAAACAAAACCAAAAATAAAATAAAACAGTTTAAATTTTTTAAACTCTACAAAATTCAACTAGCAAGAACACATAATAGTGAAGACTCACCTTGGCATTTTTCTTTTGTACACTGAATCCCATTTCAGTAACTGTGGTTTCAATTTTCTCGAGTAAATCTTTTGCTGAGCTATTTGAAGTGAATCTTATTCTCCTCTCTGATACATCCTGACAATTTGAAAGTACAATTTTGTATTATTATACATAGTGTCACAAGCAGAGGACACATCTTTGAAACAGAGCAAAATGAATATGTACCTCTTGTTCAAAGAAACCAGATAGGTCAAGGAAGGAAGACATTCCAATCAACTGAAACGCGTTGATGATAGTCGGTGAATCACTGCCCTTTCCATCTTCCGATCCCTACATAGTTCAGAGCATTAGGGACACATTGTACTTGAACCAAAAAATGCAATTGCGTATAAGAAGAAGAGAGGCCGTTAGATTCTTACGACTTCTTGGACTGAGAAAGCATCATCGTCTGTGTCAATGTCTTCTTCGTCATCATCATCGTCAGGAGTCGAAGGAGTGTAGTCGTTCTTGAACCATTCGCTGGCTTTAATACCTGAGACTGTGATCCTCGTGACTGGATTTGGATCTAGCATTTTCTTGATCATGGTTCTTGCACCTGGAGATAACCATCTTGGTATCGGTGGATCTCCTTTGCATATCTGAAGAAACAAGATTGTTTTCTTTAAAACGTGTTTTAAGTTGATAATATAGAGAGAAAAAAAGGAGGCGGGCTTTACCTTTTGGTAAAGAACTGCAAGGTTTCTATCATCAAAAGGGAGACATCCGGTTAGAATCACATACAAGACTACACCACATGACCATATATCAGATGCTGCACCTTCGTAGCCTCTGTTCGCTAGTACCTCAGGGGCAACGTAATTAGGACTTCCACAGGTTGTATGTAGCAAGCCGTCTTCCTGAAAATGGCAAAGTAAAAATTTTAGTTGGAACATTGATTTAATTCAACATTTCTATGTCTGCATGCTTATGTTAATGTATTTAAGATTAAAGTACCCTAAAATGCTGAGGCAGAGCACTGAGGCCAAAGTCAGTGATCTTTATGTGTCCCTTTGCATCAAGAAGAACATTCTCTAGCTGCAATATAAGAGAAAAAAATACCAAATTTTAGCAAAAATATAAAAGAGAAAAAATTTCATATTAGGTTATTAGGGTTTTGGAAGACGTGAGAAGCACGGACCTTGAGATCCCTGTGGAAAACACCTTTGATGTGACAGTAACTGATTCCATCGATGAGCTGCTGAAACATTTTTCTTCCCTCGATTTCTGATAGCTTTCCGTTCGAAACCTGAGAGAGATACCAGAGTGTGATATTAGCTTAAAAACTACACTCGTTTGTGAGCTTTGCTTGTAGAAGAAGGTAATGGGGTCTTACAATTCTGTCGAACAATTCTCCTCCCGTTACTAATTCCATCACCATATTGATCTTTGTTTTGCTAGCCAAGACCTGCATGAAGACCATAAGGCCCATTAGTTTACAAAAAAAAACGTAATGTAAGTTTTGACATAGGATGTTTGAAAATTCAAAAGTTTTCTCCTGATAATGATGTCAATCATATCCAAAAAATCGCCTAATAAACAAAACCCTTAGGTGTCCAAAATCTACACGAACACATAAAATAATAGGTTAACCACAACGCGACCTTAGACTTGAAACGTGAACCACGTGTATTCAATGTGTAGCACATAATCGATTGCTTGACCAAAAAGTCAAGATTGATCCGCGTTACAGGGTAAAGTAAAACTCAAAGAACTGAGATAACAAGAAGTCAACAATAAACGTCTTCCCCTTTTTAACCCAAATGTACAGCAACACCACATAATTATGCATAAAAACTATATATTAATAACATTATCATAACAAGAAGAAACGTATGCGTAAGATCAAAGTGGGTCCATATGGATAAAAAGCGTAAAGAGGTCCCAAGATTAGGCAATAATTAACGATCAGCGCCATATCCTGCAATTTTCACGACATGAATTTCGGGACCCACGTTGAATTGAAAAGGTCAAGTTACTGGCAAAGCCAGCAACCATTCGATAATGGAATTATTAAACTTTTTTTTTTAAATGGATAATTTTATGTACAAAAATAGTGGCTAATATGGCAACGTGAATAACAAGCTAAAGGAACATACTTCGGTACGAAACCTTTTAAAGTGATTAAACCGAATGACTTGTAAGATATTCTCAAAAGCAACAACAACAACAACAAGCTTATAGTTCGGTACGAAACCTTTTAAAGTGATTAAACCGAATCACTTGTAAGATTTTCTCAAAAGCTTTTCAGAGAAAATCTGATGTTCAGTCCTAAAAGTCAGCAAGTTCTAACAACTTTTTGTTTGATAAAACTAAACTAAAAATAGTGAATATAGTGATTCCACATACCTATTAATCTAAATTACAGCCACAAAAAAATGAATTAGATTTTAATAAATAAATATATATATATATAAGCAATAATTGAGAAACTTTCGTTTCACTTTCTGTCAGACTCGTGTACTAAATAAAAGAACCAACCTACACCACAAACAAACAAAAACAAACGAAATAAATCATCCAAATTGCTATACTAATAAAAGAAAGAATTATTCGATAATCCGGGAGTAATTTTTTTTAATTAAATTACAGAAATTAAATTAAGTAAGATTTTCTGGGATACTCACCTCGTGTAATCTGACAATGTTGGGATGTTTCAGCATTTTCAGCGTTCTGATCTCCCTTTTTATCTGCAAAATTAAAATTAATTACGAGATCTTTTAAATAACTAATTCCAACAAATCTCCCGGCGATTTTTTCGCCTAGAAGTTACCAGAAAAAAAATTTGAATAACATCGATTATATCGAAAACGTAAAGCAAAAAAAAAACCTGCAAGGAGAAGTTGAGATCGGCGATACGAGACTTGTCGATGATTTTAACGGCGAACGGCTGACCGGAGACGGTGTCTTTAGCGAATTTTACTTTTCCGAAATTACCCTCACCAAGCGTCCTACCAAGCTCGTATTTCCCCAGTCGCATTCCCTTCCTCACCTCCTTCTTCTCCGCTTGCTCTCTCACCATCCAATCACCGGTTTATAAAATTTTCCAAAGAAGCAAAAAAATAGAGAACCAAAACGATTTATCGAATGCTCGCTTGAATCTCTCAATATTATATTTCGTCTATGGCTTTTAACTGTGTTATATGTTTGTGTGAGGGAGATATATGTATATATTTGAAATAGAGGAAGAAGATTTGGGAAGAAGAAGAGAAGAAGAGGCTGTTGAAATTGAAGAGAGGACGCCACTTATTGTTGCTTCCTCTCTTCCTTTTTATATTCCCCCTTTTTTATTTCTGTATTCTTTATTCTTTTTTTTTGTTTCTTGTTAAACAGCTTTTTATTGGATAACAATTAACGTGTTAATCTTTTCCTTTTTTTTCTTACTCAAAACCATATTTATCTGAAAGAAAAAGTTGTCTAATAGAGAAAATCTTGCTTAAAGAGTTTAATATATTTTTCGAATAGATATTTATAGATATATTTGTTATTTTTTTTTTATCACAGGGAACATCTTTAATTATATACATTAATTTTTGTTGGAGTATACGTAAAATAAGATGTATTATCAAGATGTATGTGTATTTTTATGTGTACTTGTAGACATCTATGGGCCCACGTCATTTGCTGCACTTGTTTTTATGCTGAAATTAAATAATTAATCTATATAATAGATTTCATGAGAACTTTGGTTTTATTTTAAGTTGGAAAGAGGCGCTATGTTGCCCTTTTTATATATGATGAAGATCTTGTTGTGGAGCAGTTTTGATTTGGTTTCAGATTTTAGAATTCGAATCTAGATTTAGCGTTCTAACTAAAATTTATAAGTATATTAAAAATATTTTATAACTCAACTTAAATTTTACTTCGATATCTTTAAAACACACATAAATACATTGAATTATTTTCAGATATCTTAATTTTTTTTTTAAATAGCAATTTAAACAGACTCTAGAAAACTTTGCAAATCAAAAGGGGGTCTCGTGTCTATATATCTTAAACTATATAAACATAAAATTTCCAGATTAAGACAAGTATTTCTTAAGAAATTATAGAATTTTACTATTATTCATGGTCACAAACTTTAGTGCACCAATTTAAAAAAACGTTGACTGCTGCGGAAAGTATCACAAACAATAAACTCACAACTCGTTAAACTTTGGAAATGTTGAACTGAGCATAGGATATTATTATCTGATCTCCTTCAGAAACCAAACCTTTTCAGTATGGTCATATATAGCATCTTCCATTGACCGAAGATGGTCTTCAACTCTTCGTAATTGTTTTTTAACACCGTTTCCTTGCATGATTTACGATTACAATTTGAAACACTTTTGGTTTGCGTCTTTGTAGCTAAACAATTTCGGTGAAGATTTTTTTGGTATGTTTTTAATTTTTTATTGGTGAGATAGGCAAACGTTTAATTAACTCTAATTAAAATAACACTTGTTTTTAAGAAAAATTAAATGCAACTTTATATGTCTACAATTAGCAAAAATGGTTATTTTAAGATATCACTAGATCTTGACCCGCACAATTCTTTTTATTTATAATTTATAAAAAATTATAAATAATAATATATTATAAAATTTCGAAAAATACTAAAATGATAAATGTTAAAGTATTATATTTAAACATAAAATGAAAATATAAATTATCATTAACAAATATGTATCTATAGTATATATCTAAATAAATGTTAATATATAATATATTTATTTATGTATACTATTAGAACAAATAGATTATGTTAGAAACAAATACTGAAATTCTATTTCAAATATATAAAAATAATATATTATATATTTATCTATTTATACTATTAAAACGATGTCATGAGTTATTTCACGTATAATTTTTTATTTAGACCATTCTTTAAAATAATTATGAAATTATAAATAATTTAATTATAATATCATCCCATATCTTTATCTTTATTTGAAAGACAATTTTTTTTGTTTAAAAAACTAACATTTATCTAGATAGCACTATATAAATAAAATAAAAAAAATTAGTGATATTTTATGATAATTAGAATTTTTATGATAATTAGAATTTAAATTCAATGATTTTAAGAAATACAATTTAAAAAGATACCAAAAAGATTTTGTTAGATTTATTTCATTTCTATTTCAAATAGAAAGATAAAGATGTTTATAGATATTATTATTAAATTATGTAACATTTGATAATTTTTATAAAGAATAATCTAATTTTTCAAAATCACTTATGAATCAAGATTGTGACTTATGTTTTAATAAGTATTGATGTGTATTTTTTAAACTTTGATTCTTCCAAGAAGATATCATAAATTAGCTTATACTACAATTTTATGTTATGAATACATTTAAAATAAAATAAATAAAAGTATGTATTACGTTGGAAATCAGCTACAAACAATTTTTTTATTAGTGACACTAATCATGAAATGGAGATATTTTCTTAGGTGAATGCTTGAGCGAGGTAGAGATTAATTCAATTATTTCAAAAGCAGTTTTGAATTAGAAGCATAATGTCATAATTCAGATTATTTAATTAATATTCAAGTACAGTGGTCCAAACAATATACATTACTGACTATAATAGAGTTTTTGCCTAAAACATGGTAATAAAAGTTGTTATTATTTTGAAAAGACGTGTTAGAGATTTCACTTGTTAAACTCGAACTTTAGAAAGATAATATTAAAAAATTTACTTGTCTCGGGTTTAATTTTGTTGATTAATTTTGAGTTATATATACATGAAAACTTTAAAAAAATTTGTCATCATACATGAAAACTTAATATTTTGTAAAAATGGTATATTCTACTTTTATTCAACTATTGTTAAGACAAAAAAAAACTTTTCACAAATAGAGAGCATATTATCAATTCCCAAATTAGTGGCTCTTGGTTTGAACTTCTCATTTCTTTGGTGATGGAAAAGGTCATATGTTAATGTGTACATGTTTCTCAATGCATATTTTTCATAAGATGTCTATACAAGGTTGCAGTTGTTAAATGATGTTGGCTGAGATAAATAAAGAATCTGGACGGAAACTAAACAAATACTAAAAGTTAATAAGTGTCAAAACGTGTTGAGAAGGCCGGTGGTAGTGCTGCTGCTGGCTGCCGCCAATGCAGTGGGTAATGTTCATGGTTTGTCTTGGATGGGAGTGAGAAGGAATGGGTCGTCCACTTGGCGAAGTGTGGCTTCGGGGTTAAGGGAGGTGGTCTTGAGAGGACATAGCTGGGTCATTGGTAATGGACGAGAGATCAAGTTCTGGACGGATAGATGGCTTTCGGACCAATCACTTGCATCAGTCACGATTGAGGAGCTACCGGAGGGCTATGAAAATGTTCCTGCGAGTGATATGTGGGTAATAGGTGGCGGATGGGATCAAACGCGTATTGCTCCGTTTGTACCAGAAGAGAAGCGGCTAGAGCTGGCGACTGTAGTGGTTGATGTTATGAACGATAGTGAAGATCGGTTAGCATGGGGGCAGACAAAAAATGGAAGATTTACCGTAAAGACTGCTTATGAGCTAATCACGAAGGATGAGACTCCCAGAATCTCTATGGGGAATCTCTTTAGAAGCATGTGGCGTGTGGTGGCTCCCGAAAGAGTGAAAATCTTGCTTTGGTTAGTTGGTAACCAAGCAATTATGACAAATGCTGAACGCTATAGAAGGCATCTTAGTGGAACGGACGTGTGCCAAATTTGCAAAGGAGGCATAGAGACGATTCTTCATGTCCTCCGAGATTGCCCGGCGATGAGAGGAATATGGGAGCGGCTGGTGCCAGCAGGGAAGAGAGTTGTTTTTTTCTCGTTGCCGCTATTTGAGTGGTTATACAAGAATCTGAGTGAGAACGAATCAGGAAGTGGGACCAGGTGGTCTTCGATGTTTGCCTTGGCGGTATGGTGGGGATGGAAATGGAGATGTGGCAATATCTTTGGTGAGAAGAAGAAAGTATGGAGAGATAGAGTTGGTTTCTTGAGGGATTTGGCGAAGGATGTGAAGCTAGCGAATGAAATTGAGAGAGGTCCCAAGAATGCAAGACAACGTAGCGAAATCTTGGTGGGATGGACGCCTCCTCAGGTTGGGTGGATGAAGATCAATACCGATGGGGCCTCGCACGGCAATCCAGGACCTGCAACTGCAGGTGGAGTACTAAGAGACGTTGAAGGAAAGTGGTGTAGTGGTTTTGCCATTAATCTCGGAAGATGCGGAGCTCCGCTGGCAGAACTGTGGGGAGTGTACTATGGCCTTGTTGTCGCTTGGGAGAAGGGAGTTAGAAAGGTGGAGCTCGAAGTTGATTCCAAGGAGGTGGTGGAGTTTCTTACGACGGGGATTGGGGATACTCATCCTTTGTCTTTCCTGGTACGAATGTGCTATGGCTTTCTCAAGAAGGACTGGTTGGTCCAGATTGTTCATGTGTATAGGGAAGCTAACCGCTTAGCTGACGGGTTGGCGAACCTTGCATTTTCTCTTCCGTTTGGTTTTCATAGTTTTGATGAGGCACCGTTGGAGGTCGCCGATGTATTGCAGGAAGATGTTACTGCCCCCCCCCCCCCCCCCCGGCCACGAGTACATCTGTGTTAGACTTATAGTTTATTTTGAATAAAGTTCGGGAGCCTGCTCCCACATTTCTACCAAAAAAAAAAAGAGTAAATGAGAGGGAAATAAAAAAAAATGAAAATGAGTGGGAAAATGAAAATGGGAGAGAAGAGTAATTTTTGCTTAAGTTGGAGTAAATTTATTTGTGTATTTTACTCTAATATTCCGGAAATAGGAGTAAATGTTTTCCCACATGATTGGAGAAATTTCAAAGTAAACAAGAGTAAGTGACATACAATCACAACCTAAATATATGTAGGCAAATTATACAGGATAATAAATCAACGCACCATACTGCTCGATGCACACAAAACCAATCATAGAAATGGTGTCCACGCAAAGAAAGCAAGTTTGATGATCAAGTGGCAATCAATCGTTATAGCATAACTGGTCCATACATAATAAAAACAAAATTTAATACGGTTTCGATTTTTCTGTAAGCTATAACACATTACTTAGAAATTATGTGTAAACATATAATGAATGACGTGGTAGGCCGAGAAAGAGTAAGATAAAATAAAACATGAGATATTTGAGAGAATGGAGGATTCGGGCAGTAGCACGTGATTTAACCAACCAACTGATGACTGACTGGCGTGACCACTGCAGCCATGTGTGGTTCCTCTCTTTTTCATTTTTTTCCAACCA